TATGTCTCAAAGAACTGCAACTCTAAACAAAATCATTTATTTACTCATTCATATAGTAGGTATGGTGATATGCCCTTATGGTTCAAGGTAAAGGAAGAAGATGGAAACCACTGGATCCTCTCTGATGTTCTAATCCTTAGAGAGCACTACCTCACACCAGGGTGCTTTTTCAATTTAAATCAAGGATTCTGAAATAAAACTTAAAAGGGGAATGAGGAAACACACTCTCTTGGATACTCAGTGGAACCAAACTGTAATTCCTTCTAGGCAGTACCTGTGATTCAGAGATTGTGCCTAAAATTTATAATACAAAAATTACCACTGATAATTGGGTAGTAAACTAACACCCAGATCTGGACAGCTCAGAGACCGCACACATCACCAGGAAATCTCCAATATTGCAAGCCTAGGCCAATAATCTACTCTTTCAGGACCCTTAAAGAACACAATAGACTCAAGTCCTGAAAAACCTTCTATATGGATTACCTTACCACTTTTAAGAAGCACGAAAGGATTCAATGAATCCAAAACTGTCACAAGATTCAAATGGTTTCTCTGGGCCATAGAACCCCGGTTCAAAATAGTTGGTGGAAACTGCTCTGATGCACAGAGCAGGCCTGTTGAGGAGTCTGTTGAAGAAACAACGTATCAAGTTCTGTTTGGATTTAAATCTACTGGCAACACCAATTCATTTTAACTTCTTCAGCTGGTAAGACAGAAAAACAGGTTAAGGGCCTGAGGTTTTTCTGATTACCAAATGAGCTGGTGATTTATGCAGTATTGGATTAGGTTAAAGCAAAATCTAATTCTACAAATTAAGTGAAAAATACAATGTTTTATGTGCACTGATGCTGAAGGTTTCATTCCAGGGAGATTAAAAAGTAAGTATGTATTTAAAACTGAATAAAGATCTCAAGAAAAATTTTGTGTTTAATAGCATAGGAAGAACTATGACTGTCTCTGAAGCTTTTTAGACAAAAAAGAACTTGTATGATTTTGAATTTAAGTAAGAACTTCTCCACCTGTGTGCTCAATGTTTCTACCCTCCAACTCCCTTTTCCTGGTATCTGAAGGAAGTAAGAAAGGCTAGAATTTATGGTTCTCAAAGCCACCTACTTGATACCATTGTTCTTTTAATTATAACTAAAACTCTCAGTTTTTGGCTTTATAATGACTAGCTCTAGTCCTCACCTTATGCCCTCCTTCCCTGCCACTGTCCACTGCCCTCAACCACCAGGAACAAACTCTTTTGAATACAGGGATCCATTTCTTCCCTGTTCCCTCATTAGTCCTGACACTGTGCCTAGCAAACAGAAATTGCTCAATAAGTACTTGTTGATGGAAGTAGCGAACAGAATGGGCAATGTGCAAAGCACTTTGCTTAGCACTAGGAACAGAGGCAAAACACTCAGCAAAGCGGCAGCTCTCACTTTTCCAGAGTACCTCTCCCCAGCCCAAGAGAGCAGCTGTGAATTTTGACTCCTAATGTGACAGGAGTATAGTAGTTCTGCAAAAGAGCTCGTCGTAAGAGATCAGGGAGTCAGCACCATAGGGTTCCATCCAGGAACTGTGGTCATTCTGCTTGGGGAGCAGAGTACGTGTGACAGGGCTCTTGTGCACGAGTCGGCTCGGGATGAATCCTTAATATTCCTAAAACATTCTAAAATACAACCTGTACTGGCTGCCTTCAATCTAACCTTGCTTTTAACAATCCTTGCCAAAGAGAACTTTAATCATTGTTTTAGCAGCCTCCAAATTACACTAAGCCCAGCTTTACCAAAAATTAACTCATTTGGTGGAGGGGGGATGTGGGCACTGGGCGGCACCCCTCCCTGGACCTTCCACAAATGGACATAAAACATTCAGAATCTATACTTCTTTCAACTTGCCAAGCATTAAATATTGTCCGTTTGGTATAAATGTCTACTAGATTCCACATACCATCTTTGGACTATCTTAAACCCATAAAAAAGTCCTTTCTAACTAGAGATAAGAGAACAAATCGAGGCCAATGTCTTCTACTCTGACAAAGCAGTGACCACTGGACAAGGCCTGTGCCTTGTCTGGAATCTCCAAGTTATACTGCTTAAGAAATTAGATTTCCATTTTTTTCAGATCAAATGTGGCTAGACCTGCCCTGTTCTTCCAGTTTCTCAAAGTGAATCAGAACCATTGTTATCAACCCACAGAGAAGGAAATTAAGGGGGAAAAAGGGTTTTTATTAATAAAGAACTATGAGAACCTCCTTTTCTTCCTGTCTTGTATTAAAAATGAAACAAAAACAAAAATAACCCTCAACTTATAAAGAGTAGTAAAGGTCTGCCTCAAAGTTAATATGGAAAACAATAGTGTATAACTAAATTAATATACTAAACCTTTCTTTTCATCCATAATCATTTGACTTGTTTGAGCTTAAAAAGTTTTTTTCGGGGCGCCTGGGTGGCTCAGTCATTAAGCATCTGCCTTCAGCTCAGGTCATGATTCCAGGGTCCTGGGATCGAGCCCCACGTCGGGCTCCCTGCTCAGAGGGAGGCCTGCTTCTCCCTCTCCCACTCCCCCTGCTTGTGTTCCCTCCCTCACTGTGTCTCTGTCAAATAAATAAATAAAATCTTAAAAAAAAAAAAAAAAAAGGTTTTTTTTCACATATTTAGGTCAACCGGCAGCCACATGTAGATGACTCCAGTTTATCTGAGGAAACATGGGAAAATGTTTAAATGGTGAAGCTGATGGGTACAGCTCACTATACTATTCTACTTTTGTGTTCTAAAATCTCCATGTTAAAATGGAACAATGTGTTAAAAAAATTTTTAATGTAAACTTACGTTTGCTGTAGTATTTTTTAATTTTACATTAGTCAAGTAAAGAAAATGACATGTGTAAGACCTCTGTTGCCTTGTATAAAAGTCAGGGTCTAACCAGGGGACCTTCTTTCTCTAATCTGTTCTTTTTATCCTCTTTCCAGGTCCTTATGTGTACCCACTGAAAGATCCTAATGGGAAGAACCAGTTTACTCAAGTAAACTAGGGCTGAAAACAATCTGCACAAGATATTACTAAGTTTTAAATAGAGACTATGGAACATTCTTGATTGACCTCAGTATGTTAGATTATTGTTTCAAGGGACATCACTACATAATGTTCCTTAACATAACATAATCAACCAACAATCCAGGGTATATGAGGGGGTATATGAGGGGGTCTACACATACTTTTTAACTGGTTTGTCCAACACCTTTACTCCTACCCTCAGAACAATCAGATTCATCAATAAAATAAAATCTATTACACCAAAATGCCTATGTACCTCTCAAGATTACAAACTACTTACAGAAGGAAGACCCAAAACAATCAGAATGAAGCTGCAATTAAATGCTAAAGTACGTTTTATACTGTTTGCACTGCCTTATGGAGAAGAGGATTATATTTCTCCAGCTACCCTTTCAAAGCATCGCAAAGCGGGGCGCCTGGGTGGCTCAGTGTGTTAAGCCTCCGACTCTTGATTTCAGCACAGGTCGTGATCTCAGGGTTGTGATCTCAGCTCTGCACTGGCATGGAGTGCTTAAGATTCTCTCTCCCCCTCCACCCCCTTTCCCTCTCTACAAGAAAAAAAAAAAAACTGCAAAGGAACGGGTATGAACACCGTCCTCATGAATACTACGGCAAACGTTAAGTGTGATTTTTTAAGTGTGGTTAGTCTTTGAGGAGACTGACACCCAAGTTTGGCCTCCTGGGGGAGCAAGTTCCACAGGTTGTTTCATCATTCTATTAAACCTGATTTTTATTTGCTCTTAAAGCTTATAAAATTAAGCCTTGGGAGCTGAAAATTAACATAAAGCGGAATGATCAAACGTCTTGAAAGTCTGTGATAGAGTAAAATTTTAGACCCGATAGAGGGATGTTCAGGCCGAGCAAAGACTGCCATAGCTTGGAACCACTGCAAGTTTGGTGAAAGTGATTCTTCAGCAGATCCAGTAAAGTCCCAATGCTCCCAATGACCCCTCACCTGATTGAACTCCTCGTCAGCATATATATCAATCAAGTCCACTCCTTCTGACATGGCTCCGGAAGGAAGATCGCGAGACCGGAGAACGGACAAAGTAAGGAAGATGCCACTGCGGTATCCTGAAAGAGGCAAGAGTTCGAAGGCATGAGGGTCCCGAGCCGGGAGAAGAGCAATGGTTGCCAACCTCCCGTCTCCAGAGACGCAGCATCCCGGCAGCCCAAGCTCGGTCCCACCCGCTCCGCCCCGCCCCCGGCCTCGCGCCGCCCCTCGCTCTCCCAGGCCGCCGGGGCTCGCGGGGCTCGCTGCCCATCACCCTCGGGCCCGACCCGAGTTGCGCCGCAGCTGCCCGTGGCGCGACGGCAAAGTCCAGGCCTCTGCTCCTAGGGGCCCTGGGACGGCACTGAGAAGAACGACCGCGGCGAAGCCCGCAGCCCCAGCCCGCCGCACCTGCCTAGGCCCCAAAGCGGTCCCGGCTAGAGTCCCCGCGGGTCGTGGAGCTCCAGCCGCCTCCGCTCCCCACCCAGGCCTAGTCCTCGCCCCCAACTAGGCCCGCCCCGCTCCCTTCCCCACAGACTCGGCCCGGCGCCCTCGGCCTCCTCCCTCAAAGGCCCGCACCTCCCCCCGCCCGCCCCAAACTCAACCGACCCCCTCCCAGTTTCAGCGCTGGCCCCGAGCCCTCTTCCGGCCCAGCCGGCCCCCGGCCGCGCGCCCCCGTTACCGGGAATATGGCGGCGGCGGCGGCGAGTCCGGACTAGGCCCGAAGCGCGCGAACCGCTCTCAGCCCCAGGTCCCGCCCCCCCGCCGCTTGCGTCACACGCACAGCCACTTCCGCCATACGCAGGGACGCATCTTCCGGCTCAGGCGCTTCAGCGCCGAAGTCCGTACTTCAGGCGTCCGGAAGTTCCCGGAAGTGGCCCGGCCGTAGGCTTCCGGTGTGGGTCGGGAAGGATGGCGGTGGCCACCCTGTTCCCGGGTCTGGCACGGGTGAGGAGAGTGGAGGTTTTAGGGTCCTGGGCAGGCCGTAGTGGGGATTGAGTCTCGTCTTCCAACGCAGTCATGGAGACTGCGAGGAGCATCCAGCTGCCTGATAGCCCAGGGGCAAGGGCAGAACCAAGGAGAGATCCGCCTTGCAACGTAGGAAATTCAGGTCACATCCACTCTTTTCTTAGCCCACTGTGTGCCTGTCGCGTTCAGAGACCCAATTCAGATTTCACCTGTTTCCCAGGTGGAGCTGGCTGCACCGCGTCTGTGCGCCGCTTCTCTGTGTTCTTAGGTCTGTTCTTTTGGCTAATGCCTGTTATGATTCCACTTCTTAAGATCATTTTTTTTTTAATTGTAGGCTTTTCACACTGTGAACTTCTCTCAGTACTACTTTTGTGCTTCTTCTCATAATTTTTTTGTATCTTGCGTTTTCGTTGGTCTCAAGATATTTTCGAATTCCCCTTTTGATTTCTTCTTTGACCCATTTGAACAATTGGTTGTTCATGAGCTATAGAGTGTGTTAATTTTCACATATTGGTGAATTTTCCAGTGTTCCTTCTGTTGATCTCTAGTTTCATTTCACTGTTGTCATTTGTATCATTTTAATCTTTTTTAATTTGGTAAGACTTGTTTTGCAACCTAAGGTGATCTATCTTGGAAAGTGTTCCCATCCAAGGAATACATCCTTGAAAATAATGTAATCTGCTGTTGGGTGAAATGTTCTATACGTGTCCGTTTTGGTCCATTTGGTCTATAGTGTTGTTCAGGTCTTCTGTTTATTGATCTTCTATCTAGATGGTCTATCCATTACTGAATGTGGAATATTGAAATCTGTTTTTATTGTATTGCTGTTTATTTCCCCCTTCAGTTCTGTCAGTTTGCTTCATATGTTTGGTGCTCTGATGTTGTTTGTATATATAATTGTTTTATATTCCTGGTACATTTACCCCGTTATCATTATATAGTAATGTACCATATCTCTCGTGACAATTTTTGACTTAAAGCTTGTTTTGACTGACATAAGGAGGGCCATCTTTGCTCTTTGGCTACCCTTTGCATGGAATATCTTTTTTCATCGTTTTGCTTTCAGCCTATGTAATCTTATATCTAAAAGGAGTCTGTAGTAACAGCATATAGTTGAATCCTGGTTTGTTTGGGTTTTTTTAAGATTTTGTTTATTTTTTTGACAGAGCGAGAGCACAAGCAGGGGGAACAGTAGAGGGAGAGGGAGAAGCAGACTCCCCGCCAAGCAGGGAGCCCGATGCGGGGCTCGATCCCAGGACCCTGAGATCACAGCCTGAGCCGAAGGCAGACGGCTTAACCATCTGAGCCACCCAGGCGCCCCGGATCCTGTTTTTTAATCCACTTAGCCACTCTAGTGTTTTGATTGGACAGTTTAGTTCATTTATGTGTGAAATAATTACTGATCGAGAACTTATTGCCATTTTATTAATTGTTTTCTATCAGTCTTATAGCTTTGTGTTTCACTGTCTTTTGTGTGTGTGTGTGTGTGTGTGTGTGTGTGTGGAGACAAGCTTTAATCCCTTTCTCAGTTTCTATTGTGTATCTTCTATGGATGTGTTCTTCTTGGTTACCATGGGTCTTACATAAAACGTAATAATCTATTTTAAGCTGATAACAATTTAACTTCAGTTACGTACCAAAAAAACTACTCTTTTACTTCTCACAGTTTACATTATTGATACCATAATTACATATATTTTTTTTAAAAGATTTATTTATTTGAGAGAGAACACGCATGTGTACAGAGGTGGGGGGGGTGGGGAGGAAGGGGCAGAGGGAGAGCATCCCAAGTGGACTTGCAGAGCCCCAGCACAGGGCTGGATCTCAGGACCCTGAGATCACGACCCAAGCAGAAACCAAGAGTCGGTCACTTAACCATCTGTACCGCCCAGGCGCCCCCACAATTACATATTTTTGTGTTGTATATCCATTAGCTTATGTTTTTCTATTTTAACTTTTATACCAGAATTATGTACCACTATTACAGTATCCTGTATTTGTCATATATTTATCTTTACCAGTGATCTTTATGCTTTCATATGCTTTTGTGTTGCTGTCTATTGTCCTTTGGGTCCTTTGGACTTCTTGAATTTGGATGTTCATTTCTTTCGCCAAATTTGGGAAGTTTTTAGCCATTTCTTTGTATTATTATTATTATTTTTTTTAAGTATGCTATATCCCAACGTGAGGCTTGAACTCATGACCCCGAGATCAAGAGTGGCATGCTCTACTGACTGAGCCAGCCAGCTGCCCCTGGCCATCTTTTTAAATAAGCTTTCTGCCCCTTTCTCTTTTCTCCTTCTGGGTTCCCATAATATTTATATTGGTCTGCTTGATGATGTCCTATAAGTCCCTTGGGCGCATTTCAATCTTTTTCATTCTTTTTTTTTTTCTTCATCTGATTGGGAAATTTCAAATGACCTGTCTTTGAGTTCACTGATTCTTTCTTCAGCTTGATCAAGTCTGCCGGTTAACCCCCGTAGTGAATTTTTTTCATTTGGTTATTGTATTCTTCAGTTCCAAAATTTGTTTGGTTCTTTTTAATATTTCTTCTGTTGATAATTCTGTTCATGCCTTGTTTTCGTAAGCTAATTGAACATTTTGTTGACAGTTGTTTTGAATTCTTTGTCAGGATATTCATATGCCTCTGTTTCTTTAGGGTCGGCTTCTAGAGATTTATTTTGTTCCTTTGATTGGGCCATGTATTCCTGTTTCTTCATGTCCCTTGCAACTTTATGTTGGATCCACGCTTGAAAAAAGTCACCCCTCCCAGTCTTTTTGGACTGGCTTTGTACAAAGAAAGACCTTCACCAGTCAGCTTGGCTAGAGATTCCAGGAGTCTCTCAGACTTTTTGTGTGGCTAGGTCTTCTCTAGGCTTGTGCATGTAAATTCACAGTTCAAGGATTTGCTGGCTTCTTTTTTCAGGAGTCTCTGACCTGGTTTCTGGATTTCTCATAAAGGGAATTGGTGCATGTATTGTTGAGTTGGTGTCTCTGTGAGAGAGAGTGTGGGACTTCCTGTTCCATCTTCTTGCTGGTGTCACTACCTTCTCACTGCATCTTGACAGGTTTTGCCCTTCTCTAGATTGGGAGCCTTTGGGGGATTAGGGACCATGCCATCACTGTATGCTCAGATTTCAACACAAGCAGGTGACTAAAATATATACCATTCTATAAGAATTTTAAGGGAATATAAAGGAAGGAGAAAATATTTCTGCTGGAGAATTTCCGGAAAGGTACTAGTTAAGAGCACATTTGCAGTTAGGGTTGGGTTCCAATCCTAACTGCGGTGACTATTTGGGTGACCTTGGTAAGTTATTTAACCTCTCTGAGCCTCAGCTTCCTATGCTATAAAGTGGGGACAGTATCAACATAACTTTTTTTTTTTAAGATTTTATTTATTTATTTGACAGAGAGGGAACACAAGCAGGGGGAGTGGGTGAGGGAGACGCAGGCTTCCTGCTGAGCAGGGAGCCCGATGCAGGTCTCGATTCCAGGACCTGGGATCGTGACCTCAGCCAAAGGCAGGCACTTAACGACTGAGCCACCCAGGCGCCCCTTAACATAATTTCTTAAGAACTAAATGAGATTGAATGCATTTAGCACCTAGTAAGTGTTGAGTGAATGACAGTGATGGTAGTCCTTATAAAGATGTTTGTGGTTTATTTCAGATGCTTGCTCTGTCAAGGCGCCATCTAGTGTCTCCTTTGCTCAGCACACCATCTTTCAGCCGTTTCTACAGACGTGACAGCCCAACAGATTCCCAAAAAGACATGATTGAAATCCCTTTGCCTCCATGGCAGGAGCGAACTGATGAGTCCATAGAAACCAAAAGAGCCCGGCTGCTCTATGAGAGCAGAAAGAGGGGAATGTTGGAAAACTGTATTCTGCTTAGGTAGGGAAATATGAGACTTCGTGTCACTTTCTCTTTTATTGGAGATAGCTTTTTCAACTTTGTTCTCTCTCTTTCTTGTTTTAGCCTCTTTGCTAAAGAATATCTGCACCACATGACTGAGAAACAGCTGAACCTCTATGATCGTCTGATTAATGAGCCCAGTAATGACTGGGATATTTACTACTGGGCCACAGGTACTGGGCATGATCAGCAAGCAGCATGATGTGAAAAATAGGATGACTCGCACTGATTTGGGTCTGGAATTGTGTCCTGGGCAATTTCTTTCTTTGTTCATGCAGTCGATCCTCAACCCCAGCACTCTCCAAATTTTTCAAAGTGTGCAAAATTGTTTTATTAAAGTTATTTGTTTGCAAGCAATAGAAACCTGTCTAACCTAAGCAAAAGGGGAGTTTAGTGGAATGGTGTGGAAAGGCAGAGTTACAGAAAAACCAGGCTGAGAATGGTGTGGAACCTGACAGCTCTAGAAAGCTGCAGAGCAAGAGTTCCTCGATAGTTTCACTCCAGCACTGCCTTTGGGAAGAACAGTTCTCACTGTGTATAGTTAGGATTAGCTTTGACTATCAGGTTAAAAAAAAAAAAATCAAAACAATAATAGCCTAAACAAATCAGGACTGTATTTCTCTCTCATAACAGCAGTCCAGCGGTAGGCATTCTATTCAGAAGTCATGAGGTCCAGATTCCCCTTGATGTGTTCCTTCATCCTCAGCATGTGCCATCTACTTTGTGGTCAAAGGTGGTTGCTGTGACTCTCTCTGTCACGTCTGTGTTTCAGCCAGGAGAAAATGTGTGGAAGCACACGCCTTATTTTTTATAAATCCTTCTCAGGAGGTTATGCACCACACTTCCACTAGTTTTCCATTGGCCACAGTTCAGTCACATGATGACGCCTAATGATGATGAAAAAATAATAGAGTCTATTTCATGCATCCAGTTACATCGGGAGTTCTGTTGTCAATGAAAAATGGGAGAATGGATATTAGGGTACATCTCATCCATTTCTGTCACACTCTGGGTCTTCTGGTTTTATGTTTCCAGTCCAGATTTGAGTCATAAAACAGAAACCATTCTGTAGGTTCTGAGTGTAAAGTGTGATAATACAGAGTCTCGAGGCATATATAAACATTGGGAAGCCCACAAAATATAAAATATTTACTCTCTGGTCCTTTAGTATTGAGTAAAAGTCCATCATGTGACTGTACCCCCACAGTTTATCTGTTGACCAGGTGAGGGACATCAGGGTGTTTCCAGTGTTCGGCGAGAATCTGAATAAAGCCACTATAAGCGTTGGCATATAGCTTTCTGTTGGGTGTAGGTTGTAGTTTTTCTTGGGTAAATACCCAGGAGAAGGGTCACTGAGTCACATGGTAGGAGTTACGACAAACTTTCTCTCTGATGGGGCAGGGAGGAAGTACTTGAGGCCGTGCAGACCGTACAGTCTTCCCTGCTGCCGTTGGAGCGCACACACTGCTCCGGTGTCGCAGTCACATTTTACTGACAGACACTGAACCTGAAATTTCATAGAATTTTCATGTGTCACGAAATACCCTTTTGACTTTTTTCCTGAACCATTTAAAAGTCATTCTTCGTGCACAGGCCGTACAAAAACCGGCAGGAGGCTGTAGTTTGCTCCCTCCTGTGTTGAGTAGAAGAAACCAGACTCACGGTCCAGCCATCCATACTGTATGATGCCATTTTTATGATATTCTGGGAAGGGCAAGACTGTAGGGGCAGAAAACAAACTAGCAGTTGTCAGGGACTGGATGTGAAGTTCCCCATCCTTACCAGCGCTTGGTATTATCAGGATTTTATTTGTTTTTGTTTTTAGCCATTCTAAGAAATAGGCAGTGATATTTCACTGTAGTGAATTGGCATGGCCCTGATGATAAGGATATTGAGGGTCCTTTTTTTTTTTTTTAAGATTTTATTTTTATTTACTTGACAGAGAGAGACACAGTGAGAGAGGGAACACAAGCAGGGGGATTGGGAGAGGGAGAAGCAGGCCTCCCGTAGAGCAGGGAGACCGATGCGGGGCTTGATCCCAGGACCCTGGGATCATGACCTGAGCCGAAGGCAGACGGCTGAGCCACCCAGGCGCCCCTTGAGGGTCTTTTTTAAGTGCTTATTTGCCATTCATACATCTTTGCTAGTATGTCTCTTCAAATCTTAGCCCACCTTTTTTTTTTTCTTAATTGAGTTGGTTCATTTTCTAATTGAGTTTTGAGTGTTCCTTACCGATGTCAGATTCAAATCCTTTGTCAGATATGTGTCCTGCAAATTTCTTTCTCCTTGCTTATGCCTTGTCTTCGCATTTTCTTAACATTGTCTTTCGAGAGCAGTTTTTAATTTTGGTGAAGTACAATGTTTTATTTGGTGAGTTAGTGGATTGTGCTTTTCATACTGTGTCTAATAATCTGCCTTATCCGAAGTCACAAAGATTAGCTCTGTTTTCTTCTAGGAATTTTATAGTTTTAGAATCACCTGTTCAGTTTCTCCAAAAAAACCCCAAAACAAAACAAAAAAACCCCTACTTGGATTTTGATTGGAGTTGTGTTGATCAACAGATCAATTTGGGAAGATTCCTTTAGCAATTTAGAATTGTCTAATCTATGAACATGCTGTATCTCCATTTATTTTGGTCTTTGACTTTTTTTTTTAACATTTATTTAATATTTTAAATTTATTTATTTGAGATAGAGAGTGAGCACATGAGCTGGGGAGAGGGACAGAGGGAGAGGGAGAAGCCAACTTCCTGCTGAGCAGGGACCCTGACATGGAGCCTGACGTGGTGCTCGATCCCAGGACCTTGAGATCATGACCTGAGCCAAAGGCAGACGCTTAATCGACTGAGCCACTCAGGCACCCTTAGGTCTTTGACTTCTTTAATCAGCATATTATCTATTGTTATATAACAAATTACCCCAAAACTTACTGGCTTTAAACAAACCCACCTTTAATATCTCAGCCTTTCTGTGGATCTGGAATCCAGTCATGGCTTAGTTGGGTGCTGTGCTTTACTCTGTCACGAAGTTACAATCAAGGTGTCAGCCTGGGGTCAGGTTTCATCTGGAGGCTCAGCTAGGGGAGGATCTGCTTTAAGTTCTCTCTGGTGTTGGCACGATTAAGTTGCTCATAGATTCCCCACCTGCAGGCCTAAGTTCTTTGCTGGCTGTTGCCTAGAGGCTGTCTTCTGTTCCTTGTCCCAAGGGCCTCTCCTACTTGGAAACTTGCTTCTTCAAAGCGTGCAAGCCAAGAAGGCAAGAGAGGAGTCTGCTAGCAAGATGGACGTCTCAGTATTTTGTAACCTAATCACGGAAATTACATTGTGTTATCCTTGCTGTATTCTCTTGGTTAGAATCAAGTCATTAGGTCCAGCCCAGGGCAGGGGGTAGGGGTGAGAATCACACAAGAGCATGATACCTGGAGGTGGAGATCATTGGGGGCCATCCTAGAAGTCTGACTACTACAATCTGTCTTTTGTAGTTTTCAGTATATTTTGGACATATTTTGCTGGATTTGTACCTAAGTATTTCATATATTTTGGTGCTATTATAAATGGTACTTTAAGAAAAATTTTCAATTTCCCGTTGTTGGTAGAATGCAGAAATACAGTTGATTTTGGTATACTGTGACCTTGCTAAGCTCACTCAGATCTAGAAGCTGTTTTGTAGATTCTTTGGGATTTTCTGTGTAGACAGCTGTGTCATCTGTGAACAGAGAATGTTTTCTTCTTTTCCAGTCTGTATGCCCTTTATATCTTTAATTTGCTTTATTGCACTGTCTGGGCTCTCCGGTGTAATGCTGAATAGTAGCAGTGAGAGCATCCTTGGCTTGTTCCCAGTGTTAGGGGGAAAGTATTCAGTCCTTCACTATTAATATACTGTTAACTGTAGATTAGTCGTAAATGCCTTTTATCAGATTGAGAAAATTTCATTCCGCTTGTAGTATATTGAGCCTTTTTTCATAAATAGATGTTGAATTTTGTCAGGTGCTTTCTAGGCATTTCTGTAGAGGTGATAATTTGTTTGGTCGTATGATTTCTTTCCCCTTAGTTTATTAATATGATGAATTTTTGATTGATTGATTTTCAAATATTGAACCAACCTTGCATTCCCGTGATAAACACCACCTGGTCTTTATGTATTGTTTGATTTGATTTGCTAATATTTTGAGGATCTTTGTATCTGTCTTCATGGGGGTTTTCTTGTAGTGTTACCTGGTTTTGATCAGGGTAATGCTGGCTTCATAAAATGAGTTGTGAAGTGTTCTCCTCTTTCATTTTCTAGAAGAGTATATAGAGTTGGTATTATTTCTTTTTTAAATATTTGGTAGAATTTGCTAGGGAAGCCTTCTGGATCTGAGGTTTTCTCTGTTGGAAGTTTTTAACTGTAAGGTCTAATTTCTTTTAATAGCTATGGAACAATTCAAGTTACCTGTTTCTTGGGTGAGGTTTGTTAGTGTGTCTTTAATAAATTTGGCCACATCACATAAGCTGTTAAATCTATGGATATAAAGTTGTGGTCATATTCCCTTTTTCTTTAAATGTCTGAAGAGCTGTAGTAAGATCCCTTCTTTATTTCTAATATTGGTGATTTGTGGGGTTTTTTCTTTTTTCTTGATCAGTCTGGCTAGAAGTTTATCAATTTTACTTATTTTCTCAGAGAACCGCTTTCAATTTCATCGTTTTTTCCTCTATTTTTCTTTTTCTAATTTCATTGATGTCTGCTCTTTATTTCCTTTTTTTCTGCTTGTCTTGGGCTTAATTTGCTCTTATTTTTTAGTTTCATAAGGTGGAAGTTGAGCTCATTGATTTGAGACCTCCTTTTCAACTGTAAGCATTTAATGCTATGAATTTCCCTCTAAGCACTGCTTTTTAGTTTCATGTTGCAAATTTGGATGTGTTGTTATCATTTTCATTCAATTCCTAATTTCCCTTCTGACTTCCTCTTTGACCCATGAGTTGTTTAGAAGTTTCTTTCTTTTTTAAAAAGATTTTATTTATTTATTTGACAGCGAGAGAACACAAGCAGAGGGAGGAGCAGAGGGAGAGGGAGCAGCAGATTCCCCGCTGAGCAGGGAACCTGACTTGGGACTCCTCGATTCCAGGATCCTGGGACTCAACTGAGCCACCCAGGCACCCCTAGAAGTTTCATTCAAAATATTTCCAGATATTTTT